ATATGAAATTAGACATTGACTGGTGGCTCACTTTTCTTCCTCTTTTTAATGGAGTTTCCTTCATCAAGTCAGAGGTCTGGTCTTTTGATGATTTCCATTTTTCCACCGACGCTTGCTTATCTGGTGGCGGGGCCACATGTCAAGACCAATGTTTCTCCGTTGTATTTCCTCCGAACATTCTTCAGGAAGCGACGCATATCACTGCTCTAGAGCTGTTTGTTGTGGTCGTTGCGATTCGAGCTTGGGCTCCCCTTCTCGCTCATCATCGCTTTATCGTCTCCTGCGACAATGAAGCGGCGGTCACAGTAATAAACTCTGGCATCACGCGCGACCCTTTCATGCAACGTTGTTTGCGCCAGCTTTGGTTTACTTCTTCCTTACACGACTTCGAGGTTCGCGCATCGTTTGTTCCAGGCGACCACAACTTCTTACCTGACGCCTTAAGCAGATGGCATCTTCACCAGAAGCATCAACGTCATTTTTACGTTTATTGTCGCAAACTCGCTCTTAAGTACACTTTTATTGAGGTCCCTGATCAACTCTTACGTTTTCAAGTATCGTAGGACTGACAGTTGATTTTTTATGTCTTAAATTGTAATTATTATTATTTTTTGTGTGTATTTTTCTATTCTTTAGGCAATTATCCCAGAATCGTAGTCATTGACCGGCTCCGCGATCACCTCACATCATTGGCCTTCGCGGAATCCACTCGGAAGAATATGCAGTCTCATCTTAATGCGTATCTTAGTTTTTGCAATAATTTTAACTTTCGCTCATTCCCTTTGAATGTTATCGTGGTTTCACGTTATGTCTCTTATCTTGCTCATGTTGGTCGCCGCTTTGGCACCATCCAAAATCATATTTCTAGTCTTAAACATTTCCATCAAGTTTACGGTTTTTCTTCGGGCTGGGAACAGCAATATTTTTTTCAGCTTATCATTAAGGGCACTAAGCACTATCTCGGTATGCAGGCTACTAGGAAAAAAGCGATCACGCCTCTTATGTTGCACCGCATGACCTTTTTCTTCAATTTACGCATCCCATTACATGCTGCTATGTGGGCCCTTTTTCTCGTGGCCTTCTTTTCTTTCTTGCGTAACTCCAATTTAGTTGTCAAAAACATGCGCAGCGTTTCATCTGTCAAGGTTCTACGTTGCAGTCACCTTATACTAAACGAGAACACCGCATTTTTGCGCATTCTTGCCACCAAAACAATCCAGTTCGCGCAGCGTTCACTTAATATTCCATTGCCAGTTATCCCTGGATCTATTCTGTGCCCAGTCGCCGCTTTGCATACACATCTCAAGTTGAATCAGGTGCCCGCTAGTGCTCCACTCTTTTCTGTTCGTGCCAGCGATTCAGAGTCGGCTCAAGCCATTACTTATCTACCGTTTTCGCGTTTTCTGGCTCGGTCCTTAAAAGCTATCGGGGCAGATCCCAGTAATTTTCCCCTCATAGCTTTCGGCGGGGGGGGCGACTTTCGCTTTTGATTGCGGTCTTCCAGGGGAACTAATCAAATTACAAGGGGACTGGCGCAGCGACGCTTATTTGGTTTATCTTGAAATGACAGATCATCAAAAACGTACCGCTGTTAATGCTATGGCTCACACTTTACAGCAAATTGGTCTTTAGCTAGCATTAAAATCATATACTTTTCTCAACCACATTTATTTTTTCAGTTCACTTAATTCTAGGTATATAGATATTTTTTTTTATCTTCTTAACTTTCTTACTCAAACACAGATCATTTCGTTTGGGTTTGGGTGTCGGAGTTTTATTGTCTACGAATGTAACACGTCTCGGTTTGGTTTCTCGACCAGTGTAGCAATAAAGCTCCAATTTTATTCCCAAACTCTCATGGTCTGTGTTTGTATGTAAACAACGGTGTAAATCATTACCTAAGTGATGATAGTTGTTTGTTGAATGTTGTGACACGCCGCATTTCATCGAGTCATCACCAGGCTTATATTTCAGTCGTAATCTCTAGTCGATCTGTTCGAACCGCTTTTGGTTCACCCTAATTCCCTCCCACCCTTAAGGTGTCGGAGTTTTATTGTCTACGTATGTAACACGTCTCGGTTTGGTTTCTCGACCAGTGTAGCAATAAAGCTCCAATTTTATTCCCAGACTCTCATGGTCTGTGTTTGTATGTAAACAATTATACAGATCCAACCATATCTCAGAGACATCTTTAAGGAACCTCTCCTCATTTCGTAACGCAAAGGAAAATCCCTAAAAGACACTCAAGTAAGATCGAGCTAAACTATAAAGGTTTTAAGACCATTTGGTTTGCAAACTGCAGGAGTCGTGCAGGCCTGTCAACACTTTTAAACCTTGAATTCCAACCTGTGTGCTCGGTTTCAGTCCCTCTCGGAAACAAAACTGATCAAAAATTGTTGTCTCCCTTCTTGATTTAAAAAAACATGCATCTTGATTTAGAAAACGTGTCTCTTGATACATGACATGAAACACGTTGGAACTGAAATTAAATTCTACAATCTTGACACATTCAAAAAGCAAATTGATGTTAATTTTATCGATCTTGATAGTAATTTGGTGGATTTGAATTATAAAGTTGCATCTTTGATATTTTGTCACTTTTGGCGTAGCATACACTTGGTTATTAGTACGTTATAGAGTTTATTTTTCAGTAGCTTGTCTCTTTTGCCTTTATATAGTTTCGTTATTTGTTTGTATTTCAACCTTATGGCTCTACGGATCTTTATAGTACACCAAACTGTTTGCTCTTTGCTATTAGATGTATCTTTTTATTATCTCGAATTTTGTACTTGTTACTTTGTTTTCGATTATTTTCTTAAGTCTTGATTCGTTTACCTTCTTTGGCCTAGACTTAGTGTAACTGGCAACTTTGCACTGGAATGATTGGAATGTAGTTTGTATGTTAGAAATTAGCTTAGCCTTTTTTTTTGTATTTCATGTTTCAGTTTATGATAAGGATTTGGATCCTATGATCACGTTGAATAAACCATTCAAGACTCCTGTCTGTAAAATATTTCCTTGCTTTATAGTGTGTCGTCACTTGCGAACTCAAGGTGGTTGTCGTAAATTGCTTCGCTTGTGTTGGCCACTACAGTAAAATAACACCGTTGCTAAATAGTCGGACTGAACCTCTTCAAATGTCGTGCTCAGCCCGAGAAAACGCAGAACAAAACGATACCAAAAAGGCCAAGAATGGGTTTAAACAATTGGATCGTTCATCGAGTGCTGGGCATGTCCCAGACTCAAATACGGAAGACAGTGAACCGAAAAAACACGAAAGAAAATGGTCCAAAGAGGGTAAGGATTACTTTTTGAAAATTCGCGGTAAGGTAGGGTGAGAGTGAGTGACAAGAGGAAATTAAACAAAACACCTCCAGTAAATTGGACCCCAGCATGCCATCTTTTGTTCCTAAAGTACCACCTTTACAACCACAGGAAAATCCCGAGAAAAGGGAGAAAATTTAGGTAAGAAGCCTCTGGTGCCAACGCGAGAAAAATCAGACAGCCATCAAAGAGGAAAATAGTGCGCCCACTAATTTGCAGCCTGCACGTGCCACATATCAGACTGAAACGATAGAAACAAAACCAAATGTCACGCAAATCTATTCTCGAGATAATCCTGGTGGTTTAACTCATAAGAGATCTACGTTTAAAGGGAACTGAGGGGTTCCTCAAGCTTGATACCATGCATGGCGAGAATTGTATACCAGCACAGGAAGTCGAAGGTCTGGTAGTCCAAAAACTTGACAAGGATGCAGTAGTAGAGCTTCTGAAGGCGTACGCAACAGAACGGATCCCAGCCAGAAGAAACCAAATACCAACTCCTGAAATTGCCAGCAAGTGGTCTTACTTAGAGACGATAAAAGACAAGATACCTAATACGCAGAACAAAACCAAACTCGGATGGGGAATCATTGGTCCAGTAAGTCCTTCTTTCCTGGACAATCAGGACCATGTTTCCATCTGTCATAGAATCATCACTCGTGAAATCGATAATGAAAACCTTGACAGAAGATTCGTAGTCCACAGACAAATAAGAGAAGTTATAAATCCCTTTTAGGTCTGACAGATGTTCGAAATGGATTTTTCCGAACGGGAACGGGGTGATAACGCATTTTCTCAGGAAGATCAAAAGTTCCTGGACATTGTCAAGTGCGGTTTTGGCCATCAAGATGGTCATTATGAGATACCATTACCTATAAGGGATGAAAGAACGGCGATACGTCAAAGGACCCCCAAGTTTATAGAATTACTGTCCACCTGTTTGGAGTCACCGCCAGGTTACTCCAACTTCGCTCTAAAGACTACAGCTGATGATAATGAAGCAGCTATCAGTTCTGCACGCCACTGAATTCTTACGCCGCAATTTTTATGTAGACGATGCTTTAAAATCTGTGGCATCAATTGAAGAAGCCGTTGAACTGGTTTAGGACATCAAAGAAATGTGCAAACAAGGTGACTTTAACCTACACAAGTTCACGTCAAACAGAAAGGAAGTTATTGAGCAGATCCCAGTCTCCGACAGAGCAGAAGGAATCACGCATTTGGATTTTTGGACGCCTTGCCCATGGAACACACTTTAGGAGTTCAGTGGTGTATATAGTCAGATGCATTCAAGTTCACAATCTCCGTCGAGGACAGACCGTGTACACGACGGGGAATATTATCCACCACCATCAGCTCCATTTTTGATCTGCTCGGCTTTGTTGCTCCAGTTGTTAGAAGGCAAACCATTCTACAAGAGCTGTATCGTAACAGCCGTGGATGGGAAGACCCAGTGCCTGATGAGATACAGAGCCAGAAGAGTTGCAAAGCTGTGCAACCCCACGATGTTATAAGCCTGTGGACTTCGGACAGGTCGCTAAGGCAGAGATCCACCACTTCTTGGACACAAGTTTCAAGGCTATGGTCAGTGCAGTTACCTTAGACTGGTAAGCGAGGATGGAAAGGCCCTAATCACCCCTTTAAAGTCAGTAACTGTCCCGAGACCAGAGCTCACAGCAGCAGTTCTTTCAGTATGCATTAGCGAGCAGTTAAAAAGAGAGTTAGATATCGAGATAACGGGCAAAGTGTTCTGGACGGATAGCAGAGTGGTCCTTGGCTACATAGGAAACAGCGTGAGACGTTCCCATGTGTTTGGGGCCAATCACGTCCAAGAAAACCAAGATAAATCGGCGGCAAAGCAGTGGAGGTACGTGAATACGAAGTCCAATCCTGCAGACGAAGCGTCTAGAGGAATAAGACCGAACGAGCTCACTAAATCGAAATGGATCCTGGGACCTGATTTTCTAACAAACTCGTTGGTTACTTGCCGATTGTGTTACCAGTAGTTTTCACACGGCAGATTGTTTTTTTTTCCTGTTACATGCCAAAAACATTTCTGGTGTTCACCACAACCCAGAACACTGTTCAGGGTTCTCGCTGCTTTTTGACAAACAACACTGACGTGACCCGCTTTTTTGACTTCAGCAAAATATTCAGCAACTACTTGAGCCATAGTCTGTCACCATGTTTGTTCTCTCGCTGCGAGAAAGAAGAAAAAAGTCGAATTTAATAACCTGGTAATTAATTTTTCTTCTACTTTCTTTTCCTTTTTTTCTTGTTATTATAACCCTTGACATGTTATCCTTTACCTCGACTTTCGACCCTTGACTAAACCAGAACTGACTCATTTTGGTTGAAGGCTGCTTCAAGTTCCTCTGTATGCTTGCAAGCTGTTCAATCAAATTACTCTCTATTGCTGTTTTAGTGCTTACACAGTCAAGTAATATGGAAACACATGTTGCAAAACAGGAAAAAGGACTGTCTAGTGTTGTAATTACTGGTACATTGCTTTTAACAGGAATCTGAAGACTGTTTAAAGTGGAAAATTGTAAGCTTTGTCAAGTTCAGGTACGTTAGATCACATTATGATATCGCAGGAAAGTTGTTTTTGACATGTTTGTTGCAGTTGCTTCTTATTGTTAATATTATCATATTGTAGAATCTCAGGCTGGTAATTAAATTACGCTTGGAAGCAAGCAACAAGTTCCTAGCTAGAGGTACCAAAGGAGTATTTACATTTGAGTTTCTAGACAGCCAAAACTTTCCGTAATAGTCCATCTGTTCCCAACATAGCCGCTTTCTGGATCACCTCAATTCTGATGGTAATTATGCCTTCCCACATATTTCTCAAACATATCGGATACAGCTCAGTCCCAATGCCCCAACCACAACTGGCACAACAGTCACTTTCTTTAGCTTCCATAACGTTCCTATTTCCTCTCTTTCTTGGAGAAATTGCTACTTCCCAATTTTGTCCAGTTCTTTCTCTTTTACTAGTGCATCTCCGGGGATGCCAGTGTCTATGATTTTAGTCTCCTTTGCCTGCTTATCAACAAAGATGATGTCCGGCTTTCTAGCCGGCTTCAACCTACAACCACCCTATCACACTCTTCATGGAAATTCCATGTAACTTTAAAACTTAAGTTGAGAATTGTAGTTGGGTATGGTAATGTCACCCTGCCAGCAGAGCCTTAATTTTGCTTGCTCGGTTTTGGCACATTCTACAATGACTCTGAATCGAAGAAAAGTAAAAAAAATAGGAGGGAGGGAAGAGAGAGAAAACCAAAAAGAAGTAAGAAACAGAGACACCACCCCAAAGAATCACCAGACATTTCAATTCAAGCATTTGTATTTGACTTATAAAGCCTGGCTGCTTTTTTTTTTTTTTCAACTACGGCGCAGATGGCAACGACAATGAGTACTTCCACCCATGTCCAAGGTAAAAAACATCGACAGTTATTAGCTGTAAAACATGAAGGTAGAGTAAAAAAGAATTACATTGGGAAAGGCTCCTTACCGACACTAAATACACAAGTATGTCCGAAGCATGGTATAGTCAATCACTAAGAAAAGGTAAAATGCTAAATCAAATGCCATATGGCACGAAATTTTTGAGGGTTCTAATTTTTGCGATTTTTCCAACGATCTGCAAAACTTAGTTCCGCAAATAAAAATTACCACAAACACTTTTCCGGCAAACATTTACTACAGAGTAAATATTCTCTAACTTAAATTTGCTACACAAAAATACAGTACTAAGAAATCATGTCTGTTCAATCACAACTTGTCTCTTTCATTCAGAAACAAAACGGTATACAACGAAATACTGGTTTATTGTTTGAAAATATCAATCTGTCATAATCGCAAAAATTAGTTCCCCCAAAACACACAAAATCTTTAATTCAGGCAAAAATAAACTCCCGCATAGTAGGTTACTGAGATGAATTTAGAAGAGCTAGCATTTAAAAAAATGTTTTGTTGTCTAATTCATAATATACTTGTCACTATCCAGATCAAAATGATTTCAGGGATGTCGTGTCACTGAATTGGTTTTAGAACCTCTTCTTGCTCATGTTTGTCACGATTATAGACAGGGTACTATGCAAAAGGAAATAAAACATGTCTAGTGTATTCCTCTCTTTTACATTACAGGTGCGTCAAAAACCAAACAAGCTTGCAGTGTCAACTGCGTTAAAGACTTAGCTTCTAGATTTGATGACCTAAAAAAAAGTGCAAAGTGGATGGATAGACGATTTCCAGCTTGTGATGCCTCTGCCTCGAAAAAATCTCCGAAAACGTGCAATATGATTTACTCAAAATATGACAATCTTCCTGGAGCCTTTAGACTTCGTTTGATGCTGTCTGGACTCTGGGAATACAAACACTGTTATCTCAACGAGTAAAGAACAAAACCAGAACAAGTTGATGTTATGCTTCCCGCTGGAGGGGCAACAGAAAATGTATGCATTGTCTGCGCAGACCTTGTTTTGGATAAAACCCGTTTGATTCCGGGGCTGCTTGCAGAATGTTCAAAGGCTCTCTGAAAAGGAACAGCGTTAGTTTAGGCACTGCTCGCAACGAATACTTGATAAAAATGACTTACAAATATTAACACCAGATGGAAAAGGAAGTCAAATGCTTAGTAAAGCTGAAACACTCCAATGTTTTGCAGCACTTTGGTTGGGATTTTGAAAGGTCAATGCTCGTCACCGAGTTCTTGTGTAAAGAAGTACAGCTTGGGAGTGGACAAATTGAGTATATCCACAATGCATGGCAACTACTTGAAGATGTACCATGGACACATCGATTGGATATCGTTCACAAAGCCTGATCTGGCCTGCAGTACCTTCACGAACACGAATTGTTCACTGCGATTTCAAAGCAGCAAACATTTTCATAGGGGGTGGTAAAGCTAGTGAATATGTTGTAAAATTTGGCGATTTTGGGCAAGCCAATTTCGATTTCGGTCAGTTTTCGCACACCCAAACAGCAGTTTTGTATCATTTGCAAGTTCGAGTGAAAGAAACCAAGTTGGAACAGCGCCGTATACAGCACCAGAGTTAATCGAACTTGGCACCAAAAGAAATTTCCCCAGTGATGTGTACAGCATTGGCATGGTTATGATCGAGTTTACACTACTAGTGTCTTCATCTGATCTAACTTTCCACCATGTGCGGCAAGGAAAAAGACCTACAATTACTCCCAGCAAGCTAAGTGGTCCTGCTGAGGATGTTAAACACGACTGGCTGATTACAATAAAGAAATCTTTACATCAAGACCCTGGTAAGCCCCTCCATTCCCACTGTTACTCGAGTATTAGAGAATATGACAACCAAAGGGGACCATCAGAGCGGTTCGTTAAGAAATACAAAGAACGGGTTTATGAAGGAGTAAGTATTAAAGATATTCCGCTCAATGTTCATCAGGGTACTGTTGTAGAGAGTGCAGGAGAACTTGCCACCGCCCGTTAAGAACAAGAAGGAATTACAGAAGACGTTAAACAAGAACTTGAGGCAAATGTTCGACATCTGGATGGAATCGATGCTTCTGTCTTCCTTGCGGTGAAAAACGTAGACATTCCATTCCAACCCAAGTTTCCTTGATGATACTACAAATCTGAAAGAACATTTCGAAAACGCTATCCAAACCCTCCCAGAAGAGATAAACAATTACAGGGAAATAAATACTCTAACATGGATGAGGCTCTACAACTCCTCAAAGAAAGGAATTTGACTCGGTATAGACACAATGCAACATTAATTCCTTGTGTGTGTCAATTGACAGGCCATACTGCCTCCGTTCAGGCGAACGTGTTCTGGTCCACCTTGTCCCCAAGACAAAGCGATTCGCAGATTTCTGCACCGTTAAGTTTCAAGATCAGTTGTAATCCTGTGCTTGTTATTTTTTCTCTGTTATGTAGTGCTTTCAATCATGTTTTACATAATTATCTATTTGATTGTTTTTGTATTGTATTGTCTTCTGTTAGTGTCACTGACCTTCCTTGTAATTCAGCCTTAAAGCTGCGAGAGGGATATCAATAAACTATTATTATTATTATTATTATTATTATTAGAGATGATTCAGGACCAGTTGTGTACATCCCGAGAAGATAAAAGAACTCATCTAAGGAACACACTTCTGGCATTAGCTGCAGATAGTCCTTCCATTGCCATATACACCTGTACGCCAGTAAGCTTGGTAGTAGGCTTCATAGGCAACACATTTCTAACAATGGGCACCAATTGCATCTCCTTTGATCTAGGAGGAAATGGCAATGCAATAATTAGACTGGTGCATTGTAATGGAAACGTACAAAATGGGGGAGAGTGTGTCTCAGATTGGCTGGAAAAGCACATAAGCAGCAGCATTGGTCCTGACAAGGGAAGAGAGTCACTGATACGTCTAACTTTTCAAGAAGCTGATGATATAGAAATGACATATTTCTCCGATGGAAATGACGATGACCATTTACTTCTAAGTGTCTCAGAAAATTTTGACGGAACATTTGGGAAAGTTGATGACGAAGATGATGACTTGATAGCTAGTGCACCTGAACCTGACGAGTCACCTACAAAAACAGCCAAAACGTTATTCATGAAAGTCCAATTAGTAGCCCTTATCATCCCAAAAAACCCGATGTTATTACAGTGAAACAAGAGTCTAATGACTTCTCCACAAAGCTGTGGGAATATCCTACAGGACGCCTTCCACATAATGAGAGCGCAGAGCTGTTATGGAAAGGACATTTAACTACTTTTCAACGAACGTCATTTAAAAGATTCCAGTTAGATGCAATACGTGCAATAGAGGCAAAGAAAGATGTTGGCGTTATTCAGATGACAGATATTGGAAAGAGCATTTGTTTTCAAGTTCCATCAGTGTTTGATAGCACTCGTGATTTGTCCGATGATATCACTGATTCACTCTCAAGTCCAAAGTTTGAAATGGTTCGGGATAAACGCTATTGCCGTTGGTCCACAACATCCAGTTGAAATGTTGACCATACAAGACGAAAGTGAAGCTTCGCATTCACTAATATATACTACACCAGAATATTTTGCCACAAAGTTAAAGCACCGACTTTCTTTATCAAAACAATTAAAGCTCATTGTCATAGATGAAGTTCACAAAGTATTTGACAAGAACAGTGAGTTTAGGTCATCCTATGACACGCTTAAGTTTCTTCAAGATGACTTTCCTGGCATTCCAATCATGGCATTAACAGCAACTGTTAACAAAGAACAATTAAATCTCCTTTGTGAATACTAGCTTAGACAGCCAGTGCTGATGAAATCAATGGCAGATAGACCAAACATAAAGCTTTATGTTGGCAAGTACCAGACAAAAAGACCAGTAAAGGGCGATAAATCATTAGTTTGGATGGACACGTGAAGACAAATCAGCGATCTTTTACCAGACGAATATGGAATTGTTTACATGGACTTTAAAAAGACTTAGAATTAATGTTGACCTGCCTGAAAGAAAGTTGTGCACTTGATGCCATAGCCTACCATGGGAGCCTATCACCTTAAGAAAAAAATATGAGGTGGATGGTCACTTTAGCAACACAGACTTCCCACTGCTTGTGGCTACAGAGTTCTATGAAGTAGGAACTCACAGTCCGCACATCCAAAGTGTGGTGCGACTGGGTTGTAAGCAACTTAATGAAAGACCGTAAAAAAAAATTTGCCTGATTTCTGTTTGACCACTTCCACACCGACTTCCAGCAGTGTGTGTTCTGCTATGCTATTGTCAGTGCTTGGCTTCAGGCTGTTGTCAGTGTGTTGCGTTCGATAAATTTCTTTTTTAACGTTTCTTTGTAACTTCACGGTTTGAACAAAGGTACCAAATGGCGACGATTTCCAATAACAGCAGTGCTGTCACTTTGTTTTTAGTTTTTAAAATCTGTGATGTTTTTGCTAGTAACTACTGTAATCAGTTTAATTACACTCACCATTTTCAGCTGACCATTCACCAGCTCATTCACCAGACTGACTAGATTCACGATCATCGCCTTGCCTTCAGCTGTGCATTGCAAAGCCACACTGAACACACTGCACTGAGTGCAAACGTTTTCGGAAAAAAGCTACCCTGGGTTCCATAGGAAAAGGACCTCTGGAGCCAGGGTAACAAAAAACTGACTCTGCGGTGCAGACGACTTGAGAACTAAATCAGCAGTCCTCCGAGTCCCAGTAGTCAATGAGTGGTTTCCCTTTCACCAACAAAAAAAGAATGCCTGATGCCTGATCGCTGGTGAATATTCACTGGATCACATAACCTGCGAACAGTAGACACCAAGTAGACTTATTTCTGGTTGTTACTTCTCTCCCTCCCAGAAGCGAAGAGCGAAAGAAAATAAGTATGCTGTTTGCAGTGAAGTATCAGACACATCACACTGCACTGATCAGACTGATCACAGCGGTGATCGGACAGTCCAGTCCAGTCGCCTTGATTCGTAAATATATCGGTCAGATCCTGCCAGATTTGTCGGGTGATCTGTAGCCTGCGAAATAAGCTTTTTCCAAGAGTTTTTCCTGAAAACAATCTTTCGTACAAAGTATTCACGATTTTACTGACCTTGTTGGATGGTTTTGATTAAAAGTGAAATTCCCAATGCAACAGGAATGGTCTGGCCACTCAGTTCTGGCGTTAGGCACTCACGTGGCACTTCTGGCGGCCGTTCAGATCAGTTCTCAAGTTGCACAATGCAACAGTGATGATACAACCACTGGCATTTGCAGTAACAAGTTTGTTTTGTTTTAGTTAAGTGAGAAAATTTTCAAAATGATCCGGCAAGGCATACAAATTATTCCCCATGGACGTTTAAGTAAATCTATTGTGTTTGTCATGGTGGGTACAAAAGAAATAAATCCAACAGCCCGCGGCGATCATTCTCACACCATTTTGATCAGGAGCCCAGGTTGAGTGAGGTTGGACAGCTACACAGCAGACACAGGTACGATATATTTCATGTGTTTCATTACTTTTTGGTTTAGCTGCATAAGGCAGATAAGGTTGCCGCCAAAAATGGAGAGTGCATTTGCCTCTCGCGCGATCTCTTTTGACTCGCCTCTTGAATGTACTGCGCAACATCCTGGCAAAATCAGGAAAGTCTTGGACCAAAATTAAGGACTATTACTGAGATTTCAGTGCGCAGAAAAAAAATTTAAAGGGCCTGATAATGGAAAAGGTGCATCACTATTCTATCAAAAGACTCAGAAAATGTAGCGAAGACTCGAAATTTATACATTGAATTCGCCTCAAAATTGACCTTGCAAATCATAAGGGCACACGGCATTCCCCGGCATTCCCAAAAAAAATCCTGGCATTTGTCTGATTTGTTTCAGTAGGTTCGCCAATTTTCAGCGAGTATTTTCTTTTTTCTGTGAGTCGTCTGTTGTTATCAGTTCGAGTTGGCTACATGTCAGAAATTCTGGAAATTCGTCTCGTCTGTTATGTTTGAGGATCTTTAACATACCCACAGATCACAGATACTACTGATACTAGCTAGGTTCGCTGCCCGTTGACAAAGTCCAAAACTTGCATTTTCGGAGCGGTAGGCTTTAAAGAACGAGACTTAAAAACGTTTTATTCCCAATCGCCAATCGGATGAAGGACTTATTTATGGTCTTATTTGATTTTTTTTATGGTTTTATATTGAAAATCTAATGCGTAGTGATTATGGTTAAACGAGAGGCGACAGAAGCCGCTATACCTTCTTGATCGTTCCATCTGTTCCAGCGTCCGAGATCCGAAGTACGTTTTCTAATTGTGAAAGTTAGATTGTGTCATGTGTGTTGTGTATATAAGAAGCAAAAAAGCCTGAAAAGCAGGCGTTGAAAAAGTGAGACCACAAGGTGAAACCATCTAAACATTAGCTGAAACAGCTGAAACATTCAGCTGATTCAGAACAGTCAATACGGCTGATACAGTAACGATTGATCGATCAATTCGCTGATAGATCTAATCTTAGCTCAGTTCGCTTCAGTTGCTAGCTTTCCTCCAGTTTCCTCATCTCAGCTGTCGTCTTTATCGGTGTGTTATCAGTGTGTTATCTGGCTACTTTCAGCTGTACCAGTTGTACCTTGCCTTCTGATCTATTTCAGTCTGCTTTTTCTGCTTTTTATCTTATCTGATCCGCCTTTTCCCATTCATCAATGTTTCAGAAGTTAACATATCACCTCATCTGGTTGTTTTGGCCCTCTCAAAATAATTAATTAGGGGCACCCCCTCGCGTGGCATTGTCATTTGGCACTCGCATCAAGTTTCTTCTAGGTCATATCTGGTTAAGCATCAGTTCGAAGGTCATTCGCGGTCCATCCTCGCTAGTTTTAGCATCGAAGCACGTTGCTCTTTGTTCTTATCCACCGCATCCTCTCTTTTAGCCGTGGGTACCTGATCCACCCACTCGTCAAGCAAAAAATCCTCATCCTTCCTTCTACCGGAGGAAATCGACAACCTTTCAGCCCTGCTGGAAAATCCTGACCCGCTTTATAATCCCGATCTGCAAAATACGGGAGCCATTCCTAAGAAGAAATCGACGAAGAAAACCGGTTCTTTGCACACCGACGATCCCTCCGCTTCCGTGGAAAATCTTATTCGCTTGGAAGTTTTGCGAAAGGAGAATTTGGTAACACAGCTTCAAATTACCGAAACGAAACTAAAGTTGGCTCAGCTAAACGCGAACGTTTCGTCTCCAGCTTCTGATGCCGTGGCAGCCACACCCCCATCTTCTTTGACGAAGCTTCGGTTGGCTATTGTGCCTAACGCATCTTCATCGCCATGTCTACCATCTGAATTCGCAGATTCCCTCCCTTGACCAGCTCCGCTCAAGGAAAAAAGCAGGCGCTTCGGTGCCAAATAATTTCTTGTTCTCTCCTTAAGGTACGGTGGACTACGATAAATTAGAGTTAGCAGAGTTTGTGTGTGGCTACTTAGAATTCTGCAAGGAGCAGCCAGAGTCCTCCAAAGCTCCATTGCTAAAGCATTTGCATTTGTTAATGGAGCGCGCCATAACCTACTCTTGGTCCAGCGTACGAAATTTCCACCTCTCCGTCAACAATGCCATCGAGCAAGGCCGTTTGTCCTGGCAGAGCTACGAAAGTATTCGCAAGCGAGCTCAGACCTTCTTTACACATCAGGATCTTCGCTCCAACCTCCCAACGTCTTCGCGCAACGGTTCTATTCCTGCCCGCGGCAAAGCCAAAGATCTCCTTTGCAGAGAATGGAACTACACCGGTAAATGCAGTTGTGCAGTTGTGCCATTTCTGATGCAAGTTACAAAGCAGTCCATCGCTGTCGGGTTTGTGATTCTCCAGACCATGCCATGCTTACGTGCGCCAAGCCCAAATACCCAATCACTGCATCGCAGTCAGCCTCCTCGTCAACTTCGTCCTCCACTGGCGCTGATCAGTCCTCCTGACTACGTTCTCTCGTTGTCCTGTCCAACGAGGTTAGAGCGTTTGGCTTGCCCAATTTCTTGGGCGCTCAGCGTTTGGTTCACTCGCGTTTCAACGTTGATGTTTGGTCTCACTATTTAGAACATTATCAAGATCGAGTAATTATTGAGTTTCTTCGCTATGGTTGGCCTATTAATTATTAATCAGACGTTCTGGCGTCTTCTTCGTTTCACAATCATCCTTCTGCTGTTAAGAACTTGTCATACTTGTCCACTTACATTGCCAAGGAACTCTCCTATCAATCAGTGTTTGATCCATTTCATTAGGGACTTTAAGAACCAACAACGCGGTGGTCTGGAAAACGCGAGGACCGAGAGTGGGGCTGGGGCGAGCACCGCGTACTAAGCGCGGGAAATATGTAGTTAAGATCAAGAACGCGATCATCTAGACTAGTCATCGTCTGGAAAACAGTAAAACGCTTTTCACCTTTCCCTACAAGAATGACTCAAAACTCATTTAAGACTTTAGTCTGGAAGAAAAGGTAATAGATGACGAAGAATTTGCCGTGCTGTATGAAGAATTCACTCCACAAAACCTTCCGTTTCGCCACTGGGGTTACGAAAAATTTTCCCTTGAAAACAAAGACCCCGCAGAGTGTAAGGCAGACTTCAGATTTGAAAAGAGTGACATCTCATTGCTGGTGGATGTTTTACAGATGCATGATACCTTCACATGTCCGAATGGTACCGTTTGTGATTCAACAGAAGGACTTTGTGCTATACTAAAGCACTTTAGCTATCCACGTAGGTTGTCTGATATGATTTCTACTTTTGGTCGATCAGTACCCGAGCTCAGCATGATTAGCAATGAAGTCACTGAATGGATGTACAATGTTCATGGCCATAGGATTACCGAATGGAATCATTTCATTATGTCTCCTAACCTACTGCAAACTTACTCTGAAGCAATTCATGACAAAGGTGCCGCCTTGGAAAACTGTTTCGGCTTTGTTGATAGAACGGTTCGTCCCATATCAAAACCAGGAGTCAATCAGAGAGCTGTTTACAATGGCCACACGCGCGTTCACACCCTTAAATTTCAATCCTTGGCCCTACCAAATGGATTGATTGGCCATCTGTTTGGACCAGTAGGTAAGGGTATATTCATTTATTTTTTATGGTGGGATAGTACCGTAGCTGTTTTTACTTGGAGAGACATTTTTATCACTTATGTGAACTCAAAAGTTAGATTGATTTCTTTTCTCATAATGTTAATCTGACGTTTCTTGATGACTCCCTCCTGGTCTCTCAAATCAGAGGTATTTTCAGTAGCTCCTACTTTCAAATGGTTGTCCTGTCACCACAGACAAATAAATTATAAATTCTGACTTATAGGCCATAAGTACCTGGACTGTAAGAATAATAGCCAGCGAATCCTATGTTGTTTTTTGCCTACTCAATTACTAAGGTAATCAATGGTCTATATAGGTAACAGTTTGTCAGCCAGCCAATGTGTGACTGATTGTGGTTCAAAATTAATTTTTTTGGCTCTTGTTCAGAGGGACGAATGCATGATGCGAGAATGCTGGACACATCTGGCCTCTATGTTGACCTGGCACAGTTCGCCTTTTCCCCTGCTGGACAGGAGATGTGTATCTACGGGGATCCGGCATATCCTCTACATACCCATCTGCAGTGCCCCTTCAGAAATGGGGTGTTAACAAGACAAATGGAAGAGTTTAATGCATCTATGAGTTCTGTACGTACAAGTGTGGAATGGTTGTTTGGAGACCTTATAAATTATTTCAAGTTTCTCAATTACAAAAAGAATCTCAAAATTGGCCTTAGCCATGTAGGAAAAATGTACATTGTTTGTGCACTTTTGCGGAATGCTTTAACATGTCTCTACCGCAGTACGACTGCTGACTACTTTGGCCTTGACCCACCATCACTAGTCGATTACTTTTGCTAAAATACTGTAAAAAAAAACACCTGTCAATGCCTAAGTTAACATAAAATCTTGCATAAAATCCTGATTGAACAGCTGTTCTGTGTTATTTGCAGGGATTGTAACAACAAGCAGATCTAAACAAAGGGGTGGCAAATAATACTCTGAGTTCAACATTTTGTAAAAATGTAAATCTTAAACGTATAAACATCTAGAAATAGAAATTTAACATCTACTTGTTAAGCATTTTACTCATGATGCCCATGACATTTGCATTTGTTGCTGCTGGAACTATTGCTGTTGTTGCTGAAACTGCTGCTGTTGCTGTTGATTTTGCAGTTGTTACTGGTGCATTAGCTTTAGCATATCAGCCTGTTGTTGTTGGACTTTAAGTTGTTGTTCCTGTCTTCCCTTTTCCAGCTCAAGTTCCTTTTCTCTAATTTCTGCACTCTGCTGTGCTCTTTCCTTTAGAAACTCCATGGCATCTCCAGTTTTTCTTCTTGTTCGTTTTGGTTTGTCCTCACCCTCTTCGGCTTCCTCTGACGCCCTTTTTTTGGTTTGGGAAAGCCTTTCCATAGCTTTTATTCTTACATCCTCTGCTTTAGCTTTGTCAGCTTTATCCTTACTACATATATCTGTGGGAGCACTCTCTTCAAGTGCAATAATTTGCTGTATTAGCTCATCTAGTTCACTTGGCTCATCTGGGGATATTCCTGACGCTCTTTCTTCAGCTCTAATTTTTTTCTTGTACTTGTTTACCAAGACATTGATGTGGTCCCGGATGGCTCTGTGGTCAACATTAAATTGCGGAGAAGCACATTTGTTTAGACCATCTACAATTTTCTTCCAAGTTTCACTGCACTGGGGAGACCCCTTTTTGTATAAGTAGGGATTTTCAAACACTACTTCTCTGCACGGTATAATATTGTGCTGTTCAGTCCAGTACATAACATTGCTGTGTGAAAACAAAAACAAAGAGAATATTAGAATAAAATTCACTCCAAAAAAACCCTTTCTTTTGAATTGAAACTAAATGCTGTTGTCAATCTCACAGCTAATTTTATGCTTGTTCAAAAAAGTGAGATTTTTTCTTTAATGACGTTTAAAGCTCACAAATTTAAAAAGTGGCCTTGCTGAGGGAAAGAGACCTCACCCATAACTCATACTTACAGGAATAACAGCAGTGGAATAATGCATTCAAAGCCTAACGTTGATAATTTAAAAGATTCACATTATCAAAACTTCAAATGAGATAGGCAACATCATCTAACTTCAAATACAATCTCTCCTTAGTTCTAATTTTTCTTGGTTTGTTTTCAGTTCAGAGTATTATGTGAAACACGGCTCATTAGTAACAATTTCAAAGAAATAAAAAAATGGACATAACACAATAGCAGAAATGTCAAAGTCTTAGCTTTTGAAATGCTACGCTTTATGACAGTAGTCAAGGTAATGAACTAATTAAACTTATGTTTCCTCTTATAGTGGGCGATTTTTGAAAGTTAGCTTTAATAAGCTTTCTTTAGTTGAGTTTTCATTACACTTAATATCAGGAAACGCAATTTCAGATCATCATGAATTATCAAGCCTGGATCTAGTAGAGACTCAAGTAGAAAAATGGAATAGTCTTAGCTAAACTATTTATGAAGCTAAAATCGATCATCCGTTGATGGAACAACCGATAAAGTTTTATTCTGATATTTCACATCGGAGCTTGTTGGATTAATCAAAAACAGAAAGAAGACCAAGTAGAATGCTAGGACGCCTGACAACTAAATTGTATCAAGCATGAGAATAGCCGCATGAATGTAGTGATAATTTCCCTCAACTGTGAAGGAAAATGAAATTTTGGGAAACATTTCAAGGATAATTAGATGACTTACTTTGAAGATCTGCTCGACGCCATGTGCTTGCTCACCTGGAGGGAACAAAACGTTTTAAACTATTCAACTTTGGTCCTTTTCGTTTCAAAAATGATGCCTAACCTTTGAAGAGGCAATAAATTTTAAATTCCAATTGACTGAATAGTTGTGATAGACTGGTAATTATAGTGATTTGCTTTACGTAACAAGGCTAAATACTCGCGTTTTCCAGACGCCGCCGTTCTCAAGAGCGGGAGAAAACACCAAGCGCATGCGCTCTTCATCCGAAACTGGAAAAGTCACTTCCGGTCGCGTCTCCTACTCACCGCGTCCTGGGTTCTTAAAGTCCCTATTGTAACCCTTATAACGCGGACTGCGTTATTTCTCTGTTACTCTGTGTACCAAAGCGTGCCTCTGTCGAGCTACGTGCCGTTCACGATCTTAGTTTTCCTGAAGGTTTATCAGTAAATGACGGTATCAGTTCGGATCACTATCTGGAACAATTCTTCAACTTGCGTCTTCCCGGAATTGACCGTTTAGTCGAGTTTGTCAACGCCAAGGGTCGTGGTTGTCAC